CGGCAACCCAGAGCGACAATCTATTATTATCTTCTACTTTCCATGATATTTTCAATAGATCCCCATAATAAACTTTTTAGAACCACCATACAATATTTGAACGCAAAATGTGGATTCATTAGCATCAATTACTTTTAAACAATTTTTTTAATGTGACCGGGGTTGCCCCACTAACTTAAGTATTTCATAACGCAAAGTTAAAGTTGTCGATATTCGTATGATAAGCAACAAATCAGGAGTAGATTTACATATTTGTTCAGCAAAAATGTGCATAATATCAAGAATTAAAAGTTTTTCAAAGGTGAGTTTTTTTTTTAAAATTTAAATAAATAAATTAGTGCAACAAAATTACTCTTGTTACGTTTACCCTTACTTATTCAGAAAAATATTTTGTAAGGAGAGCTGTTTAAAATTAATTCAGTTACAACTTGCGAAGTATGTTTTTCTCTATTATCAATATCAATTTGAACATCCAATAATTTAAGGACCACCATCATATTAAAAACAGCCAAAATAAGACAATTTATATGCTTAAAAACATAACCAAAACACCAAACGAAAGCACTAGCTTGTCTTGCAAAATTCACATCCTAGACTTCCTAGGGTATCCGGTATAAGACGCAATTGTACGGAACTTTACGAAGCTTTTGGGTGTTGGCTATGAAAACAGCAGAATAATGGAATTTCGACATGTGGGTTTTGCAAGTCAGATGTCTCAGTTAAATACAATACTTGCTATTTTTAATTGTTATTGCCGGAAATTGAAAATTTCTTACGTTTCGTTTGGTTTCGACAAAAATTGGAGAAAGCTGAATTCATGATTACGAAAATTTATGAAGAAAATTATCACAAAGTCTTACATAACCACACGTTTACAATAAGGTGAAAACATTCAAATTGTGAAAGTATCCAAAGAATTTAGGCTAAAATTTCGTTTTACTATATGTCGCTGTAGTACCCAAGTAACCCACAAGGCCGCTAATCGCCCTTTTTGCTATATAAGGCTGATGTACGACTGATATAAAGTTCAAAAACCCTATATTTACCTTATATCGCAAAAAGGACGATTGTCGGGTAGTTGGCTGGCTTCGTAGTTACTTGGGTAGGGTTTTCATACTGCATACTCCTATCCTGGGCTACTGTGTATTGTTCATGAAAATTCTAACGACCGTTTTACTATTCGTTCTTTATTTGTTCCTTATAGGAAGTTTTTTTTTCCTTGATTTGTTTTCCATCGATCTTGTTTTCCGTGCTGAGCACCAATGCTACCGACGCCAGGGAGGCAGCTCCCACACCTGGACCCTACCTATCGACCCATCAACTCATGAACCGGGACCAACGCCTTTACTTCCTTTCCGTGATCAGAGATGTTATGCCTCAGAACATCCCGGCGGCGCCGACTGGGATTGAACCCAGGCCAGTTGGGGTGAGAGCTGATAGCGCTTACCACTACACTACCGGCGCCGCTGTATTTTTTTTTAAAGAAAGAGGCTGAACTGCTACAATTCTTTGAATTTCATTGACCTTCTTAAATTTTTCAATGTTCCTTGAACTTTAAAAAAATAATGTAATTCTCTAGACTTCTACAAAAATCTAAGAAAAGTTCGCTGCACTTCTACAATGCGATGTTCTGCAAAGTTTCCTGAATTTCTATGTAATTTGATGATCTATGTTAAGTCCATTTTATTTCAACAATGTGTTTTAAGCTAAGATAGGAACTTACTTTATATGAAGTTTTTTGAATGAATCAAAGCTCCTTTAATTTTAACGAAGCTTCCCAAGGTTGTTTAAAAATTCCAATACTACTAAATTTTCAAGATTTTCTTACAAAACTTTTAGAATCTTTTCAAAGTTTTCTCTACGAAGGTCCTTAAATATAATTCAAATTTCCTGAATTTCTACGATGTCCTCAGAACATCCACAAATTCCCTCAGTTTTTAAAAATAGAATGAAGCTAAAGAAAAATCCCTTAAATTCAAATAAGTTTTTTTGAATCGCTTATATATTCGCTAAAGTTCTCTGAGGTTGGCTTATTTCCAACTATTTTTGATGAAGTTCCTAAAGTTCTTTCAACTCCAAAAAAAAACTTGCTGAACTGAAAACAAAAAATAGATTTGTTAGTTTTAAACGATAAGAATGTAGTGCGGGTGATGTTGCAGAAAGAGACCCGTCAAAATGTGAAGCGATATAAACAGAAGCTATTTCATTTTTCCTGAGATATGTGGTGCTGTGCGAAGAAATGGAGCAGCTGAGGATGTAAGAAAGCCACCCTCACATCTGATGATTATTATTTGTTAATAATACTATATGTTTGTTAACGATACTCACTTTAACACATTTAAGATCATTCTTGACATGATAGGGGATGAGATTTAAACTCGTGACATTAAGCGTGCAAGGCTTGAAAAATTTCCATGATTACGGATTCGAAAAAAAATATCAAGATTTTAAGGAATAGTAAAAGTTTATGGATTATGAGACTTGCTAAGATTTTAAACATCCTCGTTCGCCAGAAATAATATCAACTTCCAAGATTTGGAATATGTTTAAAGATTCTGGAAGTTCAATAAAGTATTAATCTAATTATGGAAACATTGTGTGTGTGTGTCTATTCAATCTATCTTCCAGGGTTCAGTAGTGATATTATGGAAACAAATTATATGAAAATATTTATAAATGTGATGATAATTGTAAGCAGTGTATCAAAGTGTATACTAATATCAAATGGATAAGGGTGCTGTAAACACACTGTGTTTCTAAATCTGGCACGTTTTTAGTAATACTGAGAAATACATTTTTGTAATAATATAATTTTGTTTTATAATTAGAAAGACCGCACCAAACTCTGGCGTAGGCAAACTCCTTTATTTTTCACGCACGACATTACCCCAACCGAAAATACCGAACCAACGCTGTCGAAAAAAAAAACTGAGTTTCATTGTAGGGTTTAGATCTAATTTTGGAACTACTAAGCATAACCCGCCATTGCATTTATTTTTCTAGTGGATTTTTTTCTTCACAAAATAAAATGTTTTCACAGCAGATGACTTCTAAATTTATTTTCCTTTTTGTAGGTACGTATCTTAAGAATTTATAGAGAGAAACAAATTGTTGAGATATTTTTAAAAATATAACACTGCTTCTTAGCCCCAAACTCGACCTAAGGATTCTAAATTAGGCCTAATGCATTGAAACGCCATTCAAACGCCATTTAATTCACTTCGGCCTATCGGATGATGATAAAAATTGATTCGGTCGGACTACTTCTTTTTTTGTTAAGCGTGTCCTTGATGAACTATGGCTAAAATTCGCTTAAATAAAAAAAAAGACGTGTTGTGCGGAAGAAATTCGCTGCGGAGCTTGACTTGGACATGTGCACTTGTGTATAAGCTGTATATATTGACGTGAAAAAGGAGATTCCTACATAACTTTATTTCCTCAACCGTATGGGAACCATGTTCTACGACGGGATTAAATATATATGTTTTTTATGCAAGATTGAGGGGTATCGGATGAAATCCTTCTCCAAGCGGGAGACTCGGAAACAGTCAGAAAAGGAACAAAATGAGGGAGGATATAACAGAATATAGAAAAGCAAAACTAAGACGTAGAATCGAACGGTAGCAGTAGGTACGTACGCAGGCGTCGTGGTTAAAAGTCCATGATTGAACAACAACGAAAAGGAAACAGGGGAAGAGGCTGAATTGCTTGAAGAAAAACAGGAAGAAATTGACCGAGGCTGAGAAAACAATGGAGAGGAAGTAACCGATTCCCTAAAATATGAGCCACTTGCATGTGTGCTATGAAAGGGGGTCCTATTATTCAAAATGAGGACAATTTATACACTTTTTTTTATATGTACGCGATGTAAATCAATTTGAGAGATTTTCGCTAGGTCCACATTTTGTTCAATAAACAAATTTTCTGTAGTAGTATCGAAATGCAGGGAATTTGGAATGTCTTTTTTCAGTATTGATTTCATTGCGACAATCACCCCATGGGATGATTTAAGCCAAAATAAATTCAATTATGATCTTCTGTTAAATCAAATATCCATAAAGTATTACATAGCTTTAACAATTGAATTCGTATTCTGATTTACCCCCGAAAGATGTTTTTATTATCTAATTTTAACATTTGTTCCAATCTTCAAAGACTGTTTATCTGAATCACCGCAACACAAAAACATAAAAGTAGCGATTGGCTAAAATTGCCCAAATTTCAGGCCTACACAATCAAGCCTAAAACTACATAGGGCCGATGAGAGTAACTCAAAATTTATCCGAATTTGACTCACAATAATTATAGCTTAAAGTGGTGTTACTCAGAGGATGAGTAAATTTTTCCTCGATTTCCCTTAAAAATCGACTCGAATATCACCAAAATTGGTAAATATTGTTCCCAGTTTAAGAGTACTCATGAACTCAGTTGAATTTTCACCAATTTTCCTGATATATGAACCGATTTATGAGGAAAATCGAGCACAATTGTATTTAACCTCTGAGTAACCCTACTATTTCCAATTAAGAGTTGAATTTCAATCATTTTTGAGTTACTATCATCGACCGTGCACCAAAAAATTGAGAGTTTTTGGTGGAAAAGCTGCTAAAACTTTGATGCTTTGATAAAAAAAAATATCATATGGTGATGCACTTTTATCTGGTAGTGTACATTATTTACGTTTTCCCGTTGTTATGTTCTATCTGTTCTGGTCTTATTCTTTTATTATCAAAATTTGTCATTACGTTGCACATTTAAATGAAACACGATCAATCATCACGAACCCAAGACTTTGTGAACTGCTGTCGAAATTTGTATAACCTTTGTTCCGCATCAGCTAAAAAAGCTTAATTCTAATTAAAAGGTTTCCATCCTTTCTTGACGCCTTCACTTCCCAATAGTCGGTTTTTATCGTGCTTGACCACCGAACCTGTGTGATGTTTTCCGTCATTGGTGTAGATTTCGATCATTTATGATCTTTTTATATTCATTCTTTACAGTCCTATAATGAGGTTGTCATCGTCGTCATCATCAGCAGGGTTTTACTCGCTGGTGAAACGGAACCCAGTAGCCTCAATTGTTGTGTCGGTCTGCGTCTGTATGCTGCTTCCCCTGGTCGCTGGAGTCAGAGAACCGGAAATTGATCTCAAAACTGCTAATCATGGCCAAGACCTAGCTCACGGTGTTTCTATGGGTAAGTGTGATGAAAAATGCAAACACGGCGGGTGGTTTCCACCTATTTTTGGGTAAGCAAAACGCTTCTTCATGGTTGCAACGTTCAATAAAAGCGATTGATCATCTTTAAAAAACCCAATGAACATTTTGTAGCAAAAACCAAATTCATTTATTCACTACAGTTTCACCAGCAATTAAAAGGTAATTGAGTTTTCAGCATTAGTTCTGGGTATTCAGGGAACATAGCCGCCGTTTGTTGTCGGTTAACGTTCCCATTGATGAAGTCAATGATTTTGTTGACCTTAGTAGTGTTAATTCATCTAGCACGAAACGACCTGAAGACGGAGTTTGTTTTACAGACTGAGAAAAAGAGAAGCATTTGCTACAGCGGTTGTGTTGCTTAATCTCCTCAGTCTTGTATGGCACGGATAAAAAGAGCAAATTAATTTGCCGCCACTGCTCGTGGTATGGATTAGTGGGAAAACGAACAACTGCTATTTTAAAGCCAAATGGAGAAGAATCTTCTACCGCATTAAACAATTCATGTCACTGACAGTCTCTGTTGCAGGCAAGAATGAGAAAGCAAGATTTTCTTATTTGTTGTTTTTACATGTTTGCTTATATGGGACATGCTTTCATCTCGAAAAAGCAAGCGCATAAGCACATTAGATGGATTCACATTTCACCATATCCGTAAAATGGACCAATATTCTATATTTTCAACAACTTGTTTTAGGTAATTGATAAGTTTATAATGGAGTTAGCATTTATTTTCATCTTTATTTCGCTGCATATCTTAATTGTGCAAATCATACAGGGCTGCCATACTAATTTGCTTACACATTGCTCTTTTGTTAATAACTTTTCACTTAGTTGGTGAAACTACGTTTTACTTTAAGCAATTTATAGAGTTTACAGTACACACGCAAATAATTGTAACATCATAAAATTTGAATTCACATCAATGGGTTTTTTTTTTAATTGAAAGTCTGAAAGGAGCAACGATTAAATTCTCTTTTCGTTTTTGTTACGCAAATCTTCTGTGTTTTACGTACGTGTGTTTTTTTAAACACAAACTCTTTTCCATCAGTTGGTTAAAGAAAATCCTTGTTTCTTCAAGTGAGAGCAGAGTTATTACCAATGAGAAATTTGGGCGAAACATTGAGCATGCCAACCCGGAAAACACTATAAGATATAGAAACGTTTGGTGAATCAGTGATTTGTTAAAAAAATCAGAGTATTTATAAAAAATACAATTGATGTAAAAATATCAATAATAAGCTAATATTTAAAATTTCACATGAATTTCATTTTCCAGGGTGTTTTTAAAAATCATACCTGTCTGTTTTTAAAAGAAGCTATACACAATTATATTTACACAAGATATAAAGTTAAATTGGTTTTTATGAGTTCAACAAATAAATAAATAATCTCTAATTTTTAGTATAATGCACTTAAAGTTGTGCCCTTTAAAATGCTAGCTTAAAAATTTGGTGTGCATATCTCTATTGTATAAAGAGTCATTAACATTTAAAAGGGGTGTATTCTATATAGCTCATCAACAAAACCGCGTGATCTTAAAGAGGTATCGATTAATTTAATGCGGCAAAAGTGTGCGTTTTGAAAAGTTCTAAAATTTAATGTGGCAAAAGTGTGCGTTTTGAAAAGTTCAACTTTTACTGAAAAAATCCAAGGTACACACTTATTGAATTCTGTTGTTTTTTTTCAAAAATGGGAACGTTAAGAGATACAAAAAACTGTTTATTCAACAAAGTTGGATGAAGTTAACTCTACACAATTTTGCTGAATAAGATTACTTTAGATTCGAAAACTAAACATTAGGTTTTGATTATTAATTAATTTAAGTACCACCCTAATGTTTGCAACCACCAAAAGAAGAAACTTTTCATGCACAAAACTTTACCACCGACACCAAACGTCTAAATATTAAAGCATAGTGAATCATTGTGCAGTGTAGAAATGATTTTTTTTTTAATTCAGAAATTTTTATACAATTCAATCATCATTGGAGATTGGTAGGTCTTCTAAATTTTTGGTTTATTTTGGATTCTACCTCCATCCCATACGCTTCTGGTGGATAATTTAGTAGCGATTGTTATTACATTTCACAGCATCGGAAGTTCTCCGACAGTGTAAACAGTACGTACACTTTTTAAGTAGATAATTATTGTACAAACAGAGTATGACGCACGAAAATCAATGATATTATTCATGTGTATCATTTATGAATTTTCATTAGCTGCTTTTGATTTAGGAAACCTCATTCATCCTATCTGATCGCATAAACGATATGCATGGTCATTATTACAGTTTATTTGACACATGATCATTAATTTACTAAGCACAACCCGCACTTTTTCTCTCTTCTCGAATAAATTTTATCAATAAATGAAACGTTGTTCTCAGAGTGGACGCTCACCAATCATAAATTCGCTGATGGCGAATATCTGAAAGTGGAATTGACAGGTTTTATGTGTCAATCACATACGTCAGAACATTTTCTTATACATTACAAGCACATCATATAGTTATAACGTCTAATGATTTAATTATTCTGAAAAAAAAACTTTGTTTATATCGAAGTGACCGATGGCTGAAAGTTTCTTTACTAAAATAATCTATCCTAACATAGAAGCGGTTGTCAATAAGGTATATGCAGCGGGTACACGACGTTAGGCATTCGGTCGTTAGGCATACGGACGTTAGGCATAATCTACCCGATGAATTCCAGAAGGATGATAATGGGGACCGTCTATTGATTGCTGACTTCGGTGACAATAATGAAAGAGCCTTAATTTTTGGAACTCATGAAAACTTGCGACGTCTTGGACAGGCAAAGTATTGGGTTGCAGATGGTACGTTTGCCACAGTTCCTTGTTTGTTTCGGCAACTCGTCACTGTTCATGGAAGTATCGCTCCCTCACATCAGCAGACGGTTCCGCTAGTTTTCATTCTGATGACAACAAAAACAGAATCGTTGTATCTAAAGGTATGGCAGGAAATCCTGGAAGCAGCAGTTATATTTTTTTTGTTATTGAATGAAAAACCACATAATTCACCATTCTTAATTTCATGAGCTGTTCTTTGAGGAAAACCTTTTCTTCTTTGACGATTGCAATATGTATGTAAGAATATATTACAACAAATGTATTTTTATTTATAGATGCGATTGATTTCAAGATATAGTTCAAAACTATGCTGAGATTTAATTGCCAGATTACTTAACCGCTATCGCTACTAATCTTGGATCTAAGTAAATATGTAGCTACGTCACTTATGATATGATAAATAATGGATTCCAAAGTGTGCTTATTAAATAAACTATGTTTGTTCAACTTGTATCATTTTTATTTTATATTTACTGGTTTCTAGAGTTGCACAGCAGCAAGGTATTTTATGCCTAACGTCCATTATGCCTAACTTCCATTATGCCTAATGACTTTATGCCTAACGTCCATCATGCCTAACGTCCGTATGCCTAATGGGGTACACTCATCTTATGTCTATCCGAAAAGTTATACCTACTTTAATTTCAATATACACTAAGAGCTCCAATTTGGCTTCACCTTTTTTATTAGTTGATACATACTTGAAATCAATATCGGTAACAAAAATTTATTTTGTGAATAACGTCTGCAACATACGTTTGGTTAACATATGAACATCATTTTTAAAATGTAATCGGAAGATCATCATGTGCTTGAAAAAAATCTGCACAAGAGTATTGAAAATTTGACTACGTCACATAATGAAAATCTGACTTCAATCTGCTTCCTGGTCTTATGTTACGCAGACCATACGTAGTTAGTCTAAATCTTCATAACTACAGGATCGATAAATTAACAAGCATATATCAAAGTGTGTGTACAGAAACGACTACTGTGGACTACATTCAACAGCACACATGTTATGTGTAATTCTGGTCTGATTTGACATCTTGCCATTACAGAAAGCAGCTCAGTGATATGCAAAAAGTAATATTAACATTTTGACGAAGGACTAGAATCTCATAAGTGGGCTTCGTGGTCGTGCGGTTAGCGACGTCACCCGTCGTTCAGGCGTATTGTGAGTGCCACGAAGTAAGGGTTCGATTCCCACTCCAGCCGGTGGAACTTTTCGCAACCCGGAAATTTCCCTACTGGTCTACAGGGTGTTGGGTGTTGTCCATTGTCTAGTGTTAAGTATTCAGTCTGTACAACCTCTGGTTGAAGACGGTGTCAATTGTCTTTTTTTTTTAATGTGAACAATTAAAATATATTGAAACAAATCCTGCGAAAATCGATAGGAAAGGCAAATGTTGTAAACATTGTTTGCAAAAAGGCACTGGGCACTGTGCAAACAAATTCTGTAATGCGAGTATTTTTTCCCTTGATTTGGTTTCTGTCGATCGTGTTTTCCGTGCTGAGAACCAATGCTACACAGTTCGAAAAAGTAGTGTAAATTTCTGTTCAATATGATGCACATAATTGGAGCGTCACATATCATATACATTTACATTATATATCATGTAAAGTTCTGACACATTTCATGCAATGTAGCAAATATTGTATACAAAAGCCCATTATTGTAAACAACATTGTTTGCAAGTTGCTTGGTTGCGTGAAATGAAATACAAGTCTACGCGAATGAATGTTTACATCACAATTAAAATTCAGAACTTTTATCTGTGTACCTACGCCAAGGAGGCAGCTCCCACACCTGGACCCTACCTATCGACCCATCAACTCATGAACCGGGGACCAACGGCTTTACTTCCCTTCCGAAGGAAGGCGTGATCACAGATGTTATACCTCAGATCATCCCTGCGACGCTGAATGGGATTGAACCCAGGTCTGCTGGGGTGAGAGACAATCTGGCCATCGGAAACACCGATCCACCTCGATTATGTAGAAAGTATCTGCAAATCTTCCAATTAGGTTTAGAATCCCAAAATAGAGCTTTAGAAGTTGTTAAGCTTGTTGTTGCTTTATTAAAAATATTTTTAGCCCAAGGCTGGTTCTTTTCTGGAAATTGGGTTTAAGGTCGCACAAATCGTTTGAAGTATAATTTTGACAAATATCGCCCTTAGATTGGTCATAGTTATCCAAACGATGCGGAAAAATAATATGTAGTTGATATTACAATGACCAACATGTCTGTTCCTATTACCAGAGGCGAAGAAGCAAAGCAGCAAAAAAAAAAAAAAAAACTAACTAATTAGGTAACTGTTTATGTTACGGTCATTTTTCAGGAATCAATTCAGGAAAGATAAAATTGTGAATCATTGAAAAGGATTTATTGATTGTTGAAATTTTGCCCGACTATAGTTAAGCCACAAGATTTTTGTCTAACAATTTGAATCAAAGATAGAGCGATAGTAGTGACATTCAACAATCTCCAAAGTAATAACCTCTATACCTTTATCAATATTTAACATTAGTGTACAGGCTCATATTGTGAGGATGTGAATCAAACGGGAGGGTGGCCTTGATGATTGATAACCCTTTTTTCAATTTCAAGTACCCTAAATCACAGCTCATAGTAGAAAATATATTATTCGAAGTAAAAAAAATATTATGATTTGGTTTCTTGATGGTTTGTTTTGTATCACAAATAACCGCTGTGAAATTATTGCACATTCGGCGTACTCGATTTCCTGCAGACAGACTTATCAAAATAAATTTTCTTTCGAGTAAACATTTTACCTATCAACTATAATGACCCGTTTTGGGAAGACATACAACACATGTGGGGATCACAAATTCGGTAGCTGGCACATGTCCAATTAAATTACACACTCACGCAAACATCATTTCCCTTGATGATGTTTCCCATCTGAATTAATTTTCGCGTGAGAACACAATCTGTTTATCTTACATTTGTTCGTTTTCATCATACATCAACGTTTTGTCTCAAAATATTACCTCAAATCCCAAAAGAAACTTGTTTGCATTTAATACATTCGGCGTACATAGCCTTTTAGTTATATCTTCATTTTTTTTGTTTCTATTTCCGGACAGATGCAAAATATGCTCGTATCGCTACATCTTCAGGACAGCACGATTCAGCTCACTCAAGAAAAAACAAACCGAATAAATCATCCTTGAAAAAGTACGTCGAAGACAGCTCGGTTGATCAACATGGGAAGGAGAAGAAATCAATCTACGATAAAAAATATTTCGATTATATACCGGCGGAGCTAAAAGACCCACTCGACGCTCCAACCGACGTGAGTTTAGCAAAACGAACCAATTGTAGACGGTTCCGTAGGGATGCTGACGGAGTAGAGCTGCGAACGAAACGAAATGGTGTGTATGCGTTACATTTGATATCGAACAATACCAGCTGTAGATTAATGTTATTCTTCATTCAAAGGACCTTGGCCCCCATACTCAGAAAGGGGCTATTCTTACCAAGTACCGATGATCTATCCTGGCAGCATGTATCTTCATTATGATCCGAACAATAATTATAGGCCACATTTGAACAACCAGTATTTACCTCCGGTTGTGTTCACTCCAGTTCCACAACAACCAGATAGAACCTATCTACCTCCGGTTACACAAAGGCCACAACCCACCGAGCCCCCAGGTATGTTTGATCCTGGCAACCGAATTGGTGATTCAGGTCCAAATGTGTTTGCATTCGACACTTTATACGATCCAAATGTGGAAACTGATTATCGTCTGATACCCGGACGGCGCCCTTCAACTGGAAACGATGAGAATCAAGTCACAAACAATGTTATGGGTACGTTTAAGACCAACTGTTTTTGTGTGTGTGTTTTGCTGTATTTAACGTACACCAGAACGAGTAGATTATTTCGTTATGGCGCCATGCGTTGTAAGATCTATCACATTCTCTATACAGTGTCTTTCCGTTTTTGGCAGCACAACTTCATTTGCTATTATATTTTTTTTTTAAATTTTGAACCAAACCATTGATAAATTTAAAAGAATACTAGTCGACTCCGATCACTGAAGAATGTTCTAGTAAAGTCACACATTTAAATTTGGATTTCACGGATTTTATAGAAAGCAAAGAAGACAGAAAATATGTGTTGGCAAAAACGGGAAGGCACTGTATTACCGGCAAGAGTTTTTTGTCACCTACATTTCCATGCTGTCCCTTTTCAGTGACGTTTTTAAGCTAATCCCATCATTATTTCAATAACCGCTCATATACCGCTCCCTGGTGCTAGGAAATGCAATGCTCAACATTTATGCAGCCCAACAGTACTGAATCATAGCCTGAGAATAAATGGACTGAGAATAAATTACTGGCGATATGGTCATTTGGCATAGAACATGTTTATCGGAATAATTTTACTTGTAAGTTACAATAGAAGGTATCAAATTATGTGTTTGACACATAAAACAGAGTGAATAACATCGCAGTTTGAGACTCTCAGGAAGCAAAATTGACAGGTTTTATGAGTCAAACACGTACTTTGCAACCTCTGCTTGTATGTTATAAATAAAAAAATACGATTAAAACATTTAATGATTTCATAATTCCAAACATCTGAAATTAATATTTGCAACTCTGGTATAAACTAATGTAGGTACTGCTCATTTCTCTGTGGTGCACATGTTTCCTGAGTGCCAAATCGGGGATCAAAAGTGTTTTACCCCTGAAAAGTTATTTTTTTTTATATGGTGTCTTCGAAGAGCTTTCCTGAGAAAATAAACTCCTTCTTATAGATTGAATTATGGTGTTTTCAGCAAAGTTAAAGTAAATTTAAATTAAGACATATATAAGACGTTTTGTAAATATAACTTTGGCTGATTATATTTCTTTTCCATATTGGTATTCTGCAAAGTTGTTAACTTTTATAAAACATATCATTCTGAACAACTACACATCCAAAAACTGACACAGACTGAAAACTCAACACTAGACAACAGACAAAACTCAACACCCAGTAAACCAGTAGGGAAATTTGCGGGTTGCAAAAAGTTGCCCCAGCTGAAGCGGGAATCGAACCCCCATTTCGTGGCACTCACAAAATGCCTGAACGACGGGTGACACCGCCAACCGTACGACCATGAAGCCCACAATAACCCATATCATCAGACACGGTAGAAAAACAAAAGGTCGAAGGACAAAAGGCCGAATGGCCAAAAGGTCAAAATGGACAATAGGCGAAAGGTTGAAATTGACAAAAGATTGAATAGACAAATCATCGATTGTACAAAACAGCGAGGTAAAAAGAAAACTTTCAAGCACTTTAAGTTGGAGAGGTCTGCTTTTGATTCAAAGAAGCACTTAGCTTCTAGTAAGAGAAATAACTTTCGATCATTTTCAGTTGGATTGTTTAATGGATTTTTTTTTTAGTATAGTCACATTAACACACCTGAGTTGTTGGTAAATCGTTTGGCGATGAGATTTTAACTCATGAATTTGGCGTAAGAAGTATGGATGTTAACCACTTTATGATGATTCCCACCACTCTTTTATCTAACCACATGTTCTCATCCTCAAGTATAGTTTTCCAATCAAGTTTACCACTACGCCAGGGCCGTCTAAGTGTTCAATTGTTTTTATCAGTCAAAAGACTGCTCATGTTATAAAAAAGGAGTTAACGTCAAGGTTAAGGAATGACTTTCGAATATTTTTAGCTAGATTGTTTAAAAGCTTTTATCTGAAATAATCTGCTTATGGCTTAAAGACGGAGTTAAATCCAAGAGAGAGAGAGAGAGACATAGCTATGGAGTATTTGAGTTAGGATACTCAAATTCTAAGCTTGATTTACTTGCTTTACTCAGCAGTCTTTCCGACCTTTCATTCTTTTTCTTTTTGATCCAATTAAAGTAATTTGACATTTGATTGTATGACAAAATGTCGAAAGATAAAAGGTCGAAAGACAAAGGTCGAATGATAAATCATCGAATGACAAAATGTCGAATGGACAAAAGGTGTAAGGTACAAAAGGTTGAAGGTACAAAAATTCGAATGATGAGAAGTGGAGCTAAAGGTTGAATAAACAAAAGGTCGAATGAACAAAAGGTCTTATGGTTCAAAAAGAGACAAAATGACTAATGAACAAAAGGTCAAATTGTCACAAAATGTCGAATGATCCAAAGAGAGACAAAAGGTCGAATGGACAATAGGTCCTATATATATTTATATATACATGCTTGAGTCTATCGAAGATTTGCCGTTTGAATTTGAATCGACATTTTCTCGATGCGACACTTTTTTAAATCCTTCTTTGATTCTATGTGGGTGCTTCCATCTATTCCAATCGACTAATTTGAGCTTCTTGCTAACACATTATAGATTATATCATCTCCATCTGGTCACTAGTTATGATTCTATGGCAAATAAAATGGCTAGCACGAAAATAAAACCGCCAATAGTGAACCAGGCGCTCGTAGTTTAACACATGTTTGTTTGTACAACCACCTAATGCCGAAGACTTGTATTTACATTTTCAGGACGCCCAATAACAACGGTTCGTCCTCTGCCTCCTAGAACGCCGAGCACTGCTTCCACCATCACCACCACCACTCCACGGTCTGTGATTCAGCACAACAGTGACGATGACTTCGATTGGTCCACCCTGGGCCTTTCTCCTGACGGTACGTTGGATGTTCTCTCTGATACAGTGTAACCAAATGCGTTGCACGCTGTTAGTAAACATTTATTCAATTTCATTGCTTTGCTTTTTTCTATACTTTTGGATCTTTTTATAGCAGCAGTTGGATCGCGACTAGGTAAATAGATTGCACATGCTTTTCGATAAATTGCACACATGACCATATTGCACTACTGAAAGCTGCACTCGCTACGACTCATTGGTGAACAGAACCCAAAATATATCGGATTAATTTTTAACAGATGACTTTTGTTTTCAGCTTGGATCAAATCGCTTAATCTCAAAACAATAATGCCAAATCTTTCTTTTTATCTTGAACGACAGTTGATAGACATTTGAGGGTTTGTTTTATTATCGGAAGGGAATTTTATGAAATTTAGCCTACAGGTAGAGTTTATAGTAACCGTGTGGAACCAATAATCACAAGGGATGACAGTCCGTGTACTTTAAACAAAATTTATGCGTTCATTGAAGTGTAATAATAATAATAATAACGATTCGTGTCTAGATTTTCTAGAAACAATTTTTAGTAGTGAATGTAATCAGCAATCTATGAAAAGTATTATCTAGAAATCCATTTTCCACGATCGAAGAAAATTATAAAGTTCAACAGGAATAACCATTGTCTAAGTCATTCAAGCTATTAAATCTACAAACAAATTTTTGAATAAAACATCCTTTGCATTGCACCGTGATTGGAAGAATTTTGAAAAAAAAAAACACATCTTCAGTTCATAAATGACTTAACAGAACTACACAAATTAAATTGGTGAAAAAAATTAAATTATATGAACAGATGTAGAAACACAAATTTCATCTCGTAATAAAGAAATGAAAATGATTGTTTGTTATCCGTAGTATGGCGTACAAAGTAGTGTTTTTGTTGAGTTGTGCTGTGAAAATAAATTAATAATTTCGTGTGAAATAGTGGCGTGTGCCGCGAAAGGATTATTCCAACGCGTGCCCGTGGTGTTTTTCTAACAGGATAAGTAGAGGAAAGGTTGCCTAGCAACTAGTTTTTGTTTAATTTTGTATTTTCCCCCCGGCGCGCTATTGATTTGTATAGTGAGCTGTGGCGGTAAAATTTTATTTTGTGTTCTCCTCCCCTGTATATGTCTGCTGCTAACAGTGTTAGCGTTTAATTTGGTAGAATGGATGTGTGTAATGTATGCGAGCAGTCTATTGCTATGAGTGGGCTCCCAGTTACGTGTGTAGGTCCGTGCAATGGAACGTTCCATTTCGCTTGTGCGGCACTCACTAAGACTGCGGCCAGGCTTATAGCAGATAATGCAAATATTCTGTTCAAGTGTGATAGTTGTCTATCAGATCAGAGTTGTGACGAGCAGAATGATCTGATCTCGCGCGTCAAAAGGATAGAGGAAGAGATGAAGAAGGTTTTTCAACTCTCGGACTCGATCACTGGCATGCGAGATCACATTGCTGCTCAGGTGGACATCGCGGTTAAAAGCGGGATGGCAGATATTAGAATAAATGTAAATGGTCTTGAAAATTTGATTTGTGAGAAATTGGATAATATGAAAAGTTCATTTTTTAAAATTGATGCGGAAAACCAATTAGCTGTAAAGAATGATCCGTGCATTTCATCTAGGACGATTCAGTCGGAATCGGACAAAAATACCAGACGCAAAAAACGTAAATTAGTAATTAGTAATAGTGATCATGATGATGATGTTGTTTTTCAAGAAAATGCGAGTTTTGCGGATGTTGTAAAAAGACATAGTCGTATTAGTCAAAGTAAAACTAATAGTAACAGTAATAGTAAAAGTAACAAACCAGAAAATCGTAAGACTCGTCCAGTCATTGTGATTAAACCGAAAGAGTCCAAACAACCTTGCGAAGATACTCGTAAGTTTTTAAAAACTCAGTTGGATCCAAAAACACACAAAATCAGTAATTTTAGGAATGGTAAAGATGACTCCATTATTGTTGAGTGTGCAACAGGAGCAAACGTAAGTGATGTGAAAAATGGTATTGAAAGCAATCTGGGTGAAAAATATAGTGCTGTTGTTCCCACTTCGGTGCCAAGATTGAAAATAGTGGGCATGAGCGATCAGTTTTCCTCCGATGTCTTTATTGACTACTTAAAAAGTCAAAATGAAGACATCGCTATTAATGATGTAAAAGTAGTGAACATGTTTGAAAATCCACGCTTCACTTATAACAAGTTTAGTGTTGTAATTGAAGTCGATGTCGAAACTTATAAATGTTTGTTATGTGCGAAAAAAGTAAATGTAGGGTTTGATCGGTGCTCGATAGTTCCCGCGATTAATGTGTTGAGATGCTTCAAATGTGGAGAATTTGGACACAAGAGCATGGATTGCAAAAATTGTGATAGATGCTCTAGGTGCAGCCAACAACACAAAACGTCGGAGTGTACGTCAACTGTATTGAAATGTATTAATTGTTTGAAAATGAATAAAGAACGAAAAATGAACTTGGACGTCAACCATGCCGCATTTAGCTCGGAATGTTTACTCTATAAAAGACTTTTTGATCAGAAGAAAAGCAGCTTGCGTTTCAATAAATAGCAGCCAAGTTCCAGGAATGTGAATCAATTCGATTTTTTATACTTGAATATTGCGGGGTTGTCAACAAACTACGTAGCATTACGTCAGATTGTTGAGGAAAAACGTCCTCTTTTAGTTTTATTATCTGAAACTCATATTGTAGAAACTGAAGCTTTTGATCAGTATAGTATTCCGGGATATATTGTTGCTGCTTGTTTATCACATTCTAGACACACTGGCGGTGTTGCTATTTATGTCAAAGAATCAGTTCAATTTAACCTTCGTACCAACGAAGTTATTGATGGCAACTGGTTCTTGGGCATTACAGTTGTACGTGGCATGAAGATGGGTAATTATGGTGTTTTGTATCATTCTCCCAGTTCTAGTGACCAGCGTTTTGTTGAAGTTTTAGAGAACTGGCTCGAGACATTCCTTGATTCTAGTAAATTAAATATATTGGCTGGTGATTTTAATATTAATTGGCGTGATAACCATAATTCGAATCATTTGAAGCGTCTAGCTGAATTTTTTAATTTAAAGCAAACGGTAAATGAATATACGCGTATTTCCAGGCACAGTAGAACTTTAATTGACCACGTTTATTCCAATTTTGATTCCATTTGTTCAGTTACGGATACTGATTTGAAAATAACCGATCATGAGACTTTAGTGATTAATGTCTTAGACTATGTTAACGATAACGATAATTTTGTAAAATTGAAGTGCTGGAGGAAATATTCGAAGCAAGCTGTTTCAAATCTTGTTGAGAGAAGCCTGGATTTTCCATTCGCGGCCGGTAACTTAGATGAATCTACAGCTGTTCTTAATAACGCTTTGAAAACGTGTACCAATCAACTAGTTGAGCAAAAGTTTGTTTCTTTGAAAAACTCGAACAGCTGGTACAATTTGGATCTTTTGCGTCTTAAACGGAAAAGGGACAAATGGTACAAAAAGTTTTGTAGATCTAATAATGACAATCATTGGACTAGGTACACAATCGCGCGTAATAAGTATTCACAATCGATAAAGAAAACTCGTTGTGAATATGTTCAAAGGAAGATTGATCAGCATCAAAACAACAGCAAAGAGTTATGGAAAATTTTGAAATCTTTATTAAAACCTAGTAATTTCAAACCGCGGTCCATAACTTTTAATGGCACATTAGAACAGTCAGAACAAGTAATTGCATCTAAGTTTAATGATTATTTCGTAGACAGTGTTTCATTGATTAATCAATCTATTGAATTGGTCGATGAACCTGACGAAATAAAACAGCCAGTTAATAGTAGTTGCAGATTTGAAGTTTTTCACCCAATTACATTAGATGAACTTAGAGTTATTTGTTTTTCATTAGGAAAATCGGCTGGAGTAGATAATGTTAATGCTAGAGTTATTCAAGATTGCTTTCATGTCATTGGCCACATCTTTCTGGACCTTATTAATGAATCATTGCAGAATGGACATGTGCCACAAATTTGGAAGGAATCCTTAGTGATTCCTATTCAAAAAGTTGCTGGAACGATTAAAGCCGAAGAGTTTCGTCCCATCAACATGTTGCACACATTAGATAAAATTTTAGAACTTGTTGTTAAAGGCCAGCTGTTGGAGTATTTGAATAGCAACTCTTTGTTGATACCAGAACAATCGGGATATCGGGAAGGTCATTCTTGTGAAACTGCATTGAATTTGGTGTTAGCAAAGTGGAAAGACAACTTGGAGCGTAAAGATACGATTGTTGCTGTTTTTTTGGATCTGAAACGCGCTTTTGAAACAATTTCTAGGCCCTTACTGTTAAGTACAATCAAGCGCTTTGGAATTACGAGTACTGCATATAAATGGTTTGAAAGCTATTTGTCTGACAGAACTCAACGGACTGTTTTTAATGATTCTGTTTCCAGTCCCGTGGGGAACAACCTTGGAGTGCCCCAGGGAAGTGTATTAGGGCCCCTTTTATTTATTATGTATATTAATGACTTGCGACGTGTTTTACGGTTTTGCGACATTAACCTTTTTGCAGATGATACTGTGTTATTCATTGCAGCTAAGGATTTAGAAGTTGCCGTCTCACACTTGAATGAAGATTTGCAGTATCTAAGTAGATGGTTGAAGTGTAAGCAGTTAAAATTGAATACAAGTAAAACTAAATTTATGGTAATTTCGCGGAATCGATTAAATGAGAACGTCTCTGTTGTAATTGATGATGAGACTATTGATCGCGTTCAGGAGATTAAATATCTTGGCGTGATTATTGATGACAAACTTAAGTTCAACTCTCACATTGACAATGTCATCAAGAAAATTGCCAAGAAGTATGGAATTCTATGTCGATTGAAAAACGATTTAACTATTGCCAGTAAAATACAGCTATACAAATCAATCATCTCTCCTCATCTAGACTTTTGCCCATCCATTTTATTTCTGTCTAATGCAACACAAATATCGAGATTACAGCGCTTGCAGAATAAAATAATGCGTTTGATTTTGAGATGTAATAGATTCACTTCTTCAACTTTGATGCTAGACGCCTTACAATGGTTGTCGGTGAAGCACAGAATTGTATATTTGACTATGGTGTTCATTTTTAAAGTAGTTAACGGTTTGCTGCCTCGATATTTGTGTGATCGAATTGAAAGAGGAAGTGACTTTCATAGATATAATACTAGAAACGCGGATGAAATAAGAACACCACATTTCTTGACTTGTGCTTCACAGAATTCATTATTTTTTAAAGGAATAAATGTTTTCAATTCGATGCCTAGACACATTAAACGTTCAACAACATTAGCAGAATTTAAGAGACATTGCATTTCACACGTTAAAACTGTCTTTTGAACGGTTATCCAGTGATTTTTTTTTTTATGAATTGACAAATTATGTATCTTGACGAAGTTATTTTTAACGGATTACTTTGTATGGATAGCTGTTATAACGACTTTTTAATAATTGTTGTAGCACTGCAAAAACTATTTTGTTCACCACGATGGTGATGATGGATTTTTGATATATGATTTAATAGTAGTAGTAAAAAAAATAGTAGTCTACAAAGGTTTGAGCCTCGCGCGCGTATTACGGATATAGAGAACTGAATTTAACATTTGATAAAAAAAAAAAAATGCAATTTTGAAGCTTATTTGGAAGATACCTTGAGTTAGTAGTAAGTTTTCTGGCAAATGTTGGGGGTTCGTGAGCATTCCTGACATTGCTGAAAATTATGATAGCATCAGATTGCGGGGTTACTAGTGTAATAGGATGCTTTGTTGATTGTTCATTAACTCTTGATTGCTTGTAATACTTATGAATATTTTAGGTGGACAAAAAGGCGAACTAAGAGGTGGACGCCTGAGCTTTTCAACATTTATATCGCTGTGAAGCAACTGTAAACTCTAGAGGGAATTTATATCTGTAACTGAAACCAGTTCGATTTTGTTTGCCAACCTGGTTAAAATGTCATATTTAATTATCTTAAAGATAAATCGTCCAGCTCAAACCTTTGTAGGGGTAAGAGGTGGGACCATCATCATCATCATCATCATCATCATTTCCAATTATTTGCAAAGCAGGAACAAGAACCATTGAGGCCTACGGCTGAAAATCTCCTAAAAAAAAAGAAAAAAAAAGAACCATTGACGATCTGTCATTTTGTTGAATATTTTCTTTAATCCACACAAAATTTTAAATATCTGTCATGTATTATTATGGGTCAAGTTTGTATGGTGGATCACTATCCACTGCTGCCCATCGTTCTTTCGATCTGTGTCGGTGTCCGCAACAACTGTGCCAAATTTGGATGAATTTTGTTACGATCTGAATTTGCGGGTTTGGGTTTGTTTGGGAAAATATATGGGAAACGGATAAAAATTACTCATCTGCATGTCTTAGATTCCTCGAAATTTGCCAATTCTGAAACATAGGTTGAGAAAAATATGCAAAATAACTTTGTCGAAGACCACAAATTGATTCGAATCATGTGCAAACAAGGTATTAGCTTTTCACCTTTGTCCAAGTGCTGCACACATATATAGTAATGACTCGATCACACTTTTATCTTTAAATAATTTCACATAACTGTAATTTCAATTTTTTCTCACTAATCTTCAAGATGGGTTTAATATAAGTTGTTATGCTTAGTTTTCTCAATCAAAGTCTGAAGGTTGGACAGTTTTGCACAATGTTTGAGTTTTTGCCAAGCAAATGCATACACACTTAGAAAAATTGATGTAAAATGAGGTGCTCTGAGACTGACATATTTGAAGTACCAAACTTTTGTCCCACTCGTACTTTTACTCCAGTCTATAAATTGAGTTCATTTATTACTATATAAACGGATATTAATCAATTTTTAAAAAATCAATAATTAACAAGCGTTAAATTAAATGTTATTAATGAAAAATGTTAGAATTTAGACTCATTTTGTTAGAAACTGAATGAAAATTATCCACTAATACAAAAATGTCAGTTTTTCAGCGCGATCCATTGATCATAGTGGTAATATCATCAAATTCTTGGCGAAAGTTTAAATTAATGATATTGAAATTTAATTTCAATGCATAAATTTGAAGTACCATAAGAATATGTTACAATGTGATGTAGGACGAGTTAATTTTTGATCGCTCTTTATCACGAAATTTTCACACAAAACTTCAAACACTGATTTACATACACAAGCATAAGATAAAATCAATTAAAAACTTTACCTAGACTTCAGTTCAAAACTGGATCGGGTATCAGAATTGGGTGTGCCTGTTTTCAGACAAACGTCAGTATTGATTTTTTTCAACCTATTAGCGGTGGAGGTTTGCACTGAAAAAAAGTTTTATTTTAGACTGGTTTTATCTCGGATAGCAAACAAATTTGCTATAAGTTGCGCACAGTGTACAGATATACAAAGATAAGATCATTTTGCTCACAGCATATGACAATGGAACAAAAAGTAACATTTAAGCTCTATGGAAATTGATCAAAAAGTTGTCTCGACTAATGATTACACAAATCTCTCGAAGAGCGCGCTATTTCTGGATTTTTTTTTCCATCCGATTGAGCTGGATATTTGTAAGTAATTAGTGTCAACCATAAACTAGGCACCTACATAAAACCAGGCTAGGATAGTCAGGAAATAGCAGTGGGTGGACGGTACCACCCACTGCATTCTTCAGAAGATTTCTGTCATTATATCAATACATTTCTTTTCGAATTCACAAGACCAAATAAAAGATAAATATACCATTGCGGGTTATTACTCTAAGTTATAAATTTTTAAATAATAATTTGTAAATTGTTAAAATTGAAGCGATTTGATACAAGTTGCATGAAAATAACATGTAAAAGTTTAAAATATCACCTTGCATTAACCTTGTAATTTTTTTTTCACAGGTGTCGATGGTGGTGGAATCAACGACAACACTCTTAATTCCATGCGAAGAGAGCCTTCAAAATGCACTTGGGCTATTGCTAACTGTTGCAGTCAGTTTTCGGACAAAATTCGCTACTATTGTTTTGAACAAAACCAGTGCTTTGGTGCTTTCTGGGGTGACAATGTGTGTCGAGGTTACTACAGGCTGGCACTGGCTGAAATTGAAAACTACTACAACGTTTGATCGAGTACTCATTACTTCTTTATAACTTCATAGGAATCACTGTATTTTAAATCTCATACAACAATATTGTATTATAGCTTCTGCAGAAACTTATACCGTATACTTTTATAATGAATGAAAGCAATAAAACTATCGACCCATCAAACCACCTTCTGATATTTTTTTTTCAATTCATATCATTCATCACTCCACCGCCAGAAGAACAGAAGAAACAGATAAATTTCACTACCAAAGAGAATTACCCTTATCCGATGGTGTTGTTGGTATACGATCCGATTTACGGGAAGAGGGCGTTAAAAGCTTTGTTTAAAAAAGCTGTTGGGCCCCTTTCTATTAATGGTCATCATTTGTCCATTTACTTCCGTGCACTCCTTCCCATGGATGACAGTGCACACTGGAGCAGAATGGTAATTTTTGATGGACATGCGCTCCACTCATGCATCCTAGAGGTTTGGTGTCTTCGGCAAAGTTGTTCCATTGAATAAGGACTATCTTTTGACAGGCATAATTAGTTGTGTTTCATATCTAGCCATTCAGATGGCACTAGAACTACCTGTTGACAGAAGCAACAAAGCAAAAAATAGTTATATGTTTCAACTTTTTTTAAACTCTTCCAGACATAATTCCAGAGCCTACACCTCACATGTTCTTCAATGCTAACTAATTACTATACTGAAGAGAAATATACTGGACACAACAAGGTTTTTTTTTTGTTACAGGAAATAGCAGAAAATCTCATAAAATACAAGATTTTTCACGGCTGTTTCGCTTTTGTCTCTTCCTGACAATTGTTCAGGTTTAGCTTGAAATAGGTTAAATGTACCAGCAATGGCTGTTGTTTTACAATTATGTGTTACAATTATGACCTATGGGATTCCCAATTGGAATTTTATGAAATGTTAACTTAACTTGAAAGTGAAAGTATATAATAAAACATCATTTACAATGAATTTTACATGCATGGAAGTCAAAATTTCAAATGATATTGATTTTTGTTTCATCTAACTACGATATAATTGTACAATTTCAGATTTAATTAATTTAGGTTCAGACCGTTCAACGTGTAATTTCATTTAAAAAACCTGAAATTCTGACAAAGCGCAATTCAATCATCATATAAAATAGGTTTTGGCTAGGAATGTTTATAAAACAGCATAACTTTATATCGACATCGTTAGAGTTAATATTCTTTGGGTTTAAGACGTACAAAATTGATAAAAAAAAAAAATTCGCGGACTGAACAAAATTTTAGAATTTCTCATTCTCAGTAGGCTACGGAATTTTTCTGTATTTCGTTGCAACTTTCCTCCACGGTTCAAATTTGGAACTGAATTCTTATTCAGATTATTTTTCATTGCTGAGATAGTTAAAATATTGTTTATTACGATTCTTAGTTCATGAAGTACGGATTAATGTAGGGTAAATGCCAACTTAATCAATGCATTTACCTATTATCGTCACCACCTGTACGATCAACTTTGACCAAACGATAGAATAAATCCCCTCTGACGATAATAGCCGTCAATTACCATATGTACTATTCAGAAAATTCGATATGTTCATCTAAAATGTTCCGATAAAAATTACCTTCAAAGTTGTTTAAATTTTATTTTTGCTTATTCCAGTGATTCTTAAGTTATTTTCGATGTTGACCCCTTTGAGAAATCAAATTCGCTCGTCACCCACCAATATTTAGCAGTCACAATACAAAGAGTGAAAAATTAGTGGCGATGCTGTGAACAAACACGCTTCTTGGCAACGGGACAGTCGTGCTGTGTCATAGCATCGCCACGCATTTTGCACCCTTGGTAATTCGACTATTAATACAGATGTTGTAAGGTCAAATGTCTTTGAAACACAAAAAATCTTCAATCTCTATGATTGCCTGAAACCAAAAAAAAAACAAAATAACATTGGAAAGGTTTAAAAACGCCTAAATAGCACACGCAAAATGACGAAATGCACAAGAAGTTAAAAACAACAGAATTGCGCTAAAACACCAAATTTGGCCAAAAATGTCTTAAAAATGGGAAAATGATCTAATAACACTCAAAGGGTCATCGAAATGCATGAGAAGTTTCAAGAAGACAATCTAAAATGAAAAGAACCTCATTCACTGCTAATATGCAATATGGCAAAAATCAGTAATATTGCACACAAGGCTGCAAACAATTTCTTGGTTTATGCCAACTTTAGCTCAAAACTAGACTAGGGAAGATTTTATGCGATGGTTACTATTCAGATTTTTTTTCTGTGATTCGAAGAAATGGTAAAACATTTTCGACTCCGGCCCGAATTTGCAACGTCAAAATGATCTGATAAAAATGTCCTAAAACCGCGTAATTAGCCTCAACACACTGAAATGACCTAAAAAACAGACTTGAAAACTTTCAGACTAATCTTGAAAAGACAACACCAAAAATTACCTCACAATCGCAAAACTGACCTAAATTTACCAAAATGGCCTTTCAACAACAAAATGAAAATACCAATACCAATTTTGCGAGATTTCAGACCCCTCCCCCTCTCCCTCCCTCCCCACGCGTAGCCATTTTTTTTTAAATTTGTTATGGACTGTAGATATTTGTCCCCCTCTCCCCTAAAGAGTCTACGTAGCTTATTAATGAAACGCTCTCGCAATAAACGTCAAAATGGTCCAAATAAAATCACCAAAATGTCCTAAAACGAAAAAAAAAATTCCTAAAGGAATTGAATGGTAGAACATCCCTGATACCGCCATAATAATAGTGAATTCTCCTAAATAAACCATAAACCACACTTGCACATAGTTAAATGATGTTGAAACACCAACATACGTAGGTTTTAGGCGCATAAAAGAAAAAATCAATGTACTTTAACTATTTCGTTTGTATTACTTCTGCGTGAAGTTAACGGTTTTACGTAGTTGAAGATGCTAATTTTCAAATAACAGACTTGGAGAAGTCATACCCCTCACAATTTCTCTACAACTGGGGAGTTTGGTAAAGCGAGATGATCAACCCGATTCGTACCTACCTCAAAGTTGTCCTTGCTCACTTTCTACTCTCTATATACAATTTTCACACTGCCGTACTGTAACGGAACTATCAACTCTATACTTTCATCTCCCCATCTATCATATAAAATGTTCTAAGTCTTTTATATGAAACTTAGCATCTTCAACTATGGAATCAATGGGTTGTTATTGCACCTTACTGTAGGTTATATTAACATAATTTTAGACTGAAATAAATGTTGAACGGAATGTTAGAAACATTTAAAGGGTTGTTGACAAACTTAGTATACTGTTTTTGAGAGGTTTACGATATCTCCTTCCTCTACCTGGACAATTGTTCATAAATTAATATTTGGAAGTTTGTAAGTGACAGTAGACACTAAGATGCCATAAACTGTTCCTCGACAATTTTCAATTAAATTACTGGCAGGCAGGCAGCAAAAACGGTGTGGAATAAACGATTATACGATTTTGCATTATCATGCAGGAGAGGCCTTCTAGTCAAACCTTAAAACCTGAATTAATTTAGTAGGGTATTCGGATGATAGATGGGTAGCAATGTTTCGGCTTAGAAGTCTCATTAGTATCGAGCCTTTATGAATGATCCCAACCCCTAGATCGAAACGTTTGCGATGATAACACAGTAATCAGCGCTTTTCAATCAAGAATGCTAAGCCGAAACTTAGACTTCTTTTCATCTTTCTTATTTCAAGCTTATTGCTTATCGCATATTAGCTTATTGCGTGCTCTCAACTTAGTGTTCTAGATGCACTTGCACAGTTAATAATTGAAAGCTTACGATGCCTGTACCATTTTTGCATTACTGCCCATAAATGAGAAATTGGCTAATATGCCATTTTTGTCAAAATCGAGAAAATGGTGTTAATTGATAGGTGGCACTCTTGTAAAGTCCCCACTGCATAAAATTGCCAAAACAAAATGATTTGCGAGGATAACGACTTGAAAAACTAGATGGCTAATGAGCAATATAAATGATAAATTGTCTAATGTGCATGAAGAGTCTGAAACCGAGCGCAGTAACCAATGTGTTTTAATAGGGAATTTTTTGAGCATCAAGTAAGGTCTTATAAGTCAAGTTGGCACATGCATTAGGCTGTGAATCCAATGATTCAGGTTTCGAAACTTGGTTTTTGTTAATCTTTTATAATGAAACAAATTAAACATTTGTTTAAGGTTCAGATATTTTTCAATTTTTGAAGTTTATCACATGAGATTTTATTAAAATGTACATAGGGGAATTTACGTATTCTCGTCAATCTAAGCAGCGTCTGCACTTCTACTAGCATTTTCTCAGCGTCACGCACATATATGAAGTGTCTGTTTGTTTACATTCATCTGCTGCTTGCTTCTCTATCCATTCCAATCGACAGAATTTTTCAAAACGTTTTGAAAGCGTTTTTACAACGCTCCAAACTTCTCAGGTGAGTGTGACTATTGTCGGCAGCCTCTTTTTCTTCGGCAACCTTCCCATTAGAACTGCGTGTTAACCAGCTGTTCTATTATCGGCAACTCGAAATCAACCCCATTTTTTAGTGCGTATGCTTATTTGAAGAAAAATGTAGCATTACTGGATTGCTCGATCGTTCAAATATAATCAGATTGAAGCTGAAAGGCTAAACAATCGTTTGGACACATTCAGGGAAGTGCGTTGATGGGAAAACATAGTGAAATTGACGTTTAAATTTAGGTTGCCGAAAACAGTCAATGGGTGCCGAAGCCAACATTTACCCTATTATGGAATGGATGTTTTTATTTATTTATAACAGTTTTATTCATGCAAGTAAATGTAAAGGGGAATAAAAATGTAAATCGTAAATATTTCAAAATAGACATATAAATATCAAAATTATGATTCTTCATCGTTGTAAGGGTTGTAAGGTTATACTACTACATTCGCAACAACGGTACATTTTTTTTAATTATACCCTTCTTGCGTATAAGTTCGACTCCTTTTGTTAACGTGAAGTGACACTCGTAATAACGGCCAATGTTACACAAACGTTCTGTGATCTTTAAGATGACATCTGAACACTATAACTAGTGGTTCCGTATTATTTTAATAATGTAAAACCATATCTAGTAGGAATTCACTGACCGTTTGACAAATTTTCCCGGCTTTATAAATAAAA